GTCTTACTCCCTCCACTGTTGATGGCCTATAGGACATCAGAGCGTGAAACCACTGGATACACTCCAGCAAAGTTGATGTTTGGTCGGGAACTTCGGTTGCCAGTGGATCTGTTAACAGGATGCCCACCTTATGAAGAGTTGCCTGAGAATGTGGCAGAGTTTGTGAAAGTGTTATCGGAAAGGATGGATGATATTCAACATCAAGTGCATTCAAAACTTGAAAACGTCTGCTGATTCGATGAAGTTATCTTATGATAAGAGATCTACCGAAGTCAGTTTTGTACCAGGAGACAAGGTGTGGTTGTATAATCCCAGGAAGACCAAAGGGAAGTCTCCTAAGTCGTCATCTCCATGGGAAGGCCCATATGACATAATGGATCGTCTCTCAGATGTGACTTTCCGGATAAAATGTGGTCGGCGAGGTAAACCAAAGATGGTGCATGCCAACAGGCTTTGGTGTTATCATGTTCCAGGACTTTTCAGTTGGGATAAAGTGAACAATGGAACAAATGACGCCGCTGAAGACGTGTCACCTGAAAACGCCACTGTCGAAGAAGAAACTCGACTCGGTTTTGAGAAGGGAAACAGCGAAGCCCTTGTTGAAGTTACTACCACTGATGTGACTGTTACCAATGATAGGACATTTCCTGATGAAGCAGATGAACCCCACGTGAAGCAGAAGCCAACGAGATGGAGACCAGTACGGAAGAAGATACATCCCGTAAAATTAAGAGACTTTGTTGAATTTTGATTTTGTGTTTGTAAATTCTGTACATTATTTAAGTTATTGTTAATTGTTTATTGGTTTAATGTAAGTGGCTATTGTTCGGGGCGAACAATACTAAGGAAGGAGCAGTGTTACGATAGCGGAGGTCACGTGACGCTAGTAACACGTCATGCGTTTCTAGAACGTTCATGAAACCTCGAGAGGCTACTAGATATGCGGTAGTCTTGTATATAGGCCGCCAAGAACTGACGGATACAATGGGTAATTAAATTGCGGACAGAGAGAGACGTATTGTTGAGTCGAGCACGTGTGACGTTCGTTGTGAATTATAGCGTTTGTTATAGCGTGTCTGTGGAAATTAAGTGTATTACAAAGTTGTATTTAGAAAGAATAAACCAGTTTTATTTAAGAAAGGACTTGTATCGCTAAAGTTTCTTCTGAAAGAAATTATACGGAAAATTAACTAACGAACGGAGGCGTAACAGTATTTTCTGATTGATTAAAATATTTTCAGGTTCATAGTAAATTGTTCATTCTCACGCGAAGAAGCCGAAATTATCATTGATTTTTCAAAATTAAAGTCTTCAATAATAGCTATCTAACTACAACTATTAAAAACCTAGTGTTATGTAAATTATCTGAGGCAACACAAGTTTTTGTCCACATGTGGATCAGGAGTGTTCTGACTCACAATAATAATGTGCGGGTCTCGATTAACATCGACAGATAGAGCGCAGTAGTCCACTGAGTAGCTTTGCGCTGCCCCCCCCCCCCCTCCAGTGACACAGAAGCATGTCTGAGAACTTACAATGCTAGAATCTGGGTTTCGATACCCGTGGTGGGCAGAGCACAGACAGCCAATTGAGTAGCTTTGTGCTTAATGACAAACAAACAAACAAGCTTTGCGCTAAAAAACGCCCAACAGCAACAGCCTTTTTATTTCATAAGCAAATGAAATAACAGTCATTTAAAAATTGAAAAAAATCATCTATATAAATGTTTTTAGCTCATGAATCTCAGAGTATCTGCCTGCTTTTAATTTTTTAAAATCGTACAGAAATGTAAATTATTGAAGCTTAAAAGCAGCCTTGTAAATTTTCGAAAAGTATGATCAGAACAACTATTCTTCGAAACACTGGTCTTGTTGACCTGGTTGTACTAGAGGGCACTGAATTCGATGTTAGGGAAGTCGCCACATGCTCAGTTTAAGGGAAATTGAATTCATTTTTGTATCGTTGTTATTGGGTTTTGTTAATTAAAGTGTAAACAGTTTAAGCCATTTTTTTAGAGGTTCAATTAGGTAATTTAATTCACCAAACTTATGAGACTACGATACAATGGGAAAAGACAAGAAATCAAAGAAGGGAAAGCAAGAGGAAGACTTGTAAGTTGCTAGTTAAAAAATATGGAGTAAGAGATACTGGTAGTGATAGAGTATTCAGTGGTTATAATTCTTTAGAGAAACACCAATTTTATTATTTATAGCAGTAGTAAGACTACGGAACATTAAGTTTAAGTTGAATCTAATATTATTAGAGTATAAATTTAACTTATAAGTACTAAGTAGGTTTTGTAATGGTTATCATGTGCTATTGATAGTTTGTGGAATTTTGTTCCTAAAGCAAACTTAATGCATGTTTCACTATAAATATAATACAGTTAGACATATGGAACATCAATTTAGTTAATTTTTGGTTTATATGTAGATAAAATCGTATTTCGATGCAAAATGTGTATTTACTATTATTGTGCTGTGGACATAACTGGTTAAATAGTTAATTTCCTAATTTTTTTAAAAACATGGTTAAGAAGGATCTACGAGTGTATAGCCTATTTGATTTGAGTTTTGAAATATCTTCTAAAAAGTTATTTAAAATTAAGTTGGAAAGTGGACATTTACTGGTTCACAGCATCATTCTATAAAATAATTTTTTGATTGGATGTTTCGTGTGTCTGTTTTGGACCTATTTTTTTCATTGTTTATTTTAGGCACTTACATATTTTTGGACATTAATAGTTATAAGTTTGTTGATAGTACCATATGGTTTGAAAAAGCTGATTCTTTTTTGTTTTCCATTAGAAAATATCTTAAGTCTTAGTGATTGGGCCAGAATATAGACAACTTCTATGTTCCAGAAAAATGAAAAAGAAGTCCAAATATTCAAGCTTTTTCTCATAACTTGTATGACTTTAATCAGAAATGATTCTCATAGCACACATTTGCACTCATTCCAACACATTGATATCCTTCTTGGAGTGAAGGTATGAAAGCTACATATAGCACTCTAAATGAGGCCTTATTAAAAAATTTTTACAAGGTTATAATGATCTTGTTTTAAATAAAAACTTCACATGAATAGAACCAAGATTTCTGTATGCTCTCTTAATCTGAACACACTCATTAGAGAGATTTAAGGTTCAATCAACAATAATACATAAAGTAGGGTTTTCATTAATTTTAAGAGTAGGTGGGTAATACTACTAAACTAGATGGGTAACCCTATTAGTATTGGGTGGAACTTTAACTAAAATGGGAAAGTGATTTACCTGGAACCTGGCACTTAATGAAAGCCTAATGGCATCCTGCCTAAAACTTACTCTCTTTTTACATAATATCAGTGTTCCCCCTCACACAAAAAATATATTTCTGTATTCCATACAGCCATCTTATTCATTTACATATCTTACTATTATAACTTGCCTTCCACTTTCTAGTCCTTTTTAGTATGAAAAGCATTTTCAACAGAATTGGCTATTCTAGCATTTTTGCATCATCAGTGAATTTAGAGATACTACTGCTTACTGGCATGTGAAGATACAGAATCAAATATTGCAAAATGATTACAGTAATTTGGATGACAATGCAAGTTTTGAAGTGTTCAGCCTGAGCTAAATTTATTACAACCATAATGTTTGCAGTGTTGAAAGTAAGAGGTTTCTTCTATGGTGGGTATGCATGTGTGTGTGTGTGTGTGTGTGGTAATTGTACTAGACTAAGAGATTTTTTGGGGCAGAAAGTTAATGGAAGCTGTTAGTGTAGTTAAACTTTTTAAAGGAACTACTGTGGTTTGGTAAGTATCTCTTCTGAAAAGTAGAATTATGTACTAATTGTAGAAAGTGAGAGTCTTGTGAACAGAATGAGAGAAATGAGGATGGCTTGATAGCTAGAAGTTAACATGAAATTGCACAAACTGCTAACTTTTTAGAATATAGTCCTACTTTTTTTTCACCAGAAAACAAAAATGTTGGCTGAAAATTAGAAAATTATTTTAAGATTCAAGGATATTATAAGAATGCATGGTTATGTAAAATAACTATGTATTTTATATGTAAATTAGTTACAACCAAAATAAGATGAAGTCTAATGTTAATATTGCATTCAGGTAAGCAAGCAAGCTTTTAATACCATATGAAGATTAGCTGTTGATTTGTTTATAGAATAACAGGGAATAGAAATAAAACAGTTATTTTTGTTGAAACAACTTAAAATAGTTTGGCTAAAATCTCTTGTAAAATAACCTTTTACTTTGTTGTTTTTTTCAGAAAAAGTTTTATGTGAGTTTAAATATTAAATGTGTAGTATTTAAATACGACTGTCAGTTACTGAGTGGTAACAATTATGCAATAAAATATTGTGATACAGAAGACAGAAATCTAGATATGCAAAATGTGATAAACAAATAGCATCAAAGTTTATTTCTTGGATACTTATTAACTTGAACAAAAAGATGTGTTTTTAGATATTAATTTTCTTCTAATAACATTTTAACTAAATTTTAGTGCTTTTATTTTTACTAAAATTGGATTAACTGTAATGCAAGGTAGATAGTGACTAAACATTGTGATGATTTCATGTGTACAGTGTAGTTTGTATTGGGTAGTTGTACATTTACAAATATAATTCTGTGTTGGATTAGTTGAAGGTTTCTTAATGCTTTATTTTTACAAGTCTTTTGATAATTAAGTAATTTTCACATTGTAACAGTCAGGATGGAAAGTCATGTGCTTGGGACCTAATCCTGTTAATGGCTCAAAGCACTGTGCGAACCAACAGTCCTGGGCTCAGGATCATTTCAGTGCAGATTTCTTAACATTTTGATGTGTTATATTTTGCAATATGTTCATGGGAGTATTCATTTACTCCTTGAGTTTTATAATTGTGCAAGTACTTTGATAGTATAAAAATTGTTTCATGTTTGTGGTGTTACTAGTACAGAGTTTGATACCATTATGTATGTTGGTTTATTTTCAGTGGAAAGGTGGTGGGTGAAGACAATACTTCCAAGTTAAAAAATGATCTTGAAGCAGAATCTCGGAATTCTAAAGCATCAACTAAAAAAGAAAAAAAAGGCAAACATAAGAAAGATGATGACTGGTGAGTACCGTCAGATGTTTATCGTAAAATTATCAAAATTTAATCACGTAATGTATGTATTTGTTAAAGTTGAAATTTAAATTTTTTTGTAAACCTTTGAATTTACATAAAGGTCACCTGTAGTGTATAGAATAAAAAATTTTGAGTCTTCCAAAAATGCTACTTGAAGAAGGGTTTGAAATGTAATAGCTAAAATTGCCATGATACTTTGACATAAATTTAAAATTACAGAAAGTTTAAATGTTTCAAATGTACAAGTATAGGTAAATTCTATAATACCAGATAAAACTGTATTTTATGTATAACACATGGTCTTATAATGGGGCAGATTTTCAGGTAGTTTTCCTCTTAACATAACATAGACAAACTATGTGCTTGCCTGTTCAAGGTTTCCCAAGTAAGAATATTGTTATTCATACAGACATAAATTACAAATTCAACTCTTCTACTTTGTTACAGCTTAATATGAACCTTTGAGGTAGAAAGGTTCAATGTGACTCTACAATCACTATAATCTTTGTAATAATTTACACATTAGGGAAAATTTTCAGTTATGATCAGGTTTGACTAAAGTTTGGCTCTTTCCTCAAAGACCTATTTTTCAACAAACAGTTCATAGGAACATTATGAAAAAGTATTTAATGAAATGGTTTTCATGCTTTTTAACCTTCTAAATTCATTCTTAAAAGGCTAACAACTAAAATTGCCAAATGGCATTTGTTTTCGTTAATTTCTCAACATTTCAATCATTTATGATTTTATAATAGTATGCCTCCATACCTTAAATAATTTGCTTTATAAAAATAAAAATGTATATCTCATATAAGTAGGTCACTAGGGCTAAATTCTAGGCTTAGGTTAGTATGTAAGGATGAACACATTGGCTGGTTGGACTTATGGGATCTGTTCAGTGGAAGAAAGGAGCTTTTTGGAATGGATGATAGGATAGGGACTGGCTTGTTTGCTAAGGCTATTAACTCAGCTGAAAGGGAAGTTTTAAACTAGGACTAGACAGTGGTGAGGGCTAGGATAAACGAAATGAAAAAGAATAAGAGGCAGAGAAAAGTTTAGCATAGGAAATGAGTATAGAAGTAATATTAAGGGTAGGCTTAATTGTTACTATTGTAATGATAGAAGTATAAGAAATAAAATAGATGACTTTAGAGCACTAGTAAGAATGGATAATTTTGATGTAATGGAAATAACTGAAACATGGTTAAGCGTAGATGATTTTGATGACAGAAATTTCTTTGAAATACAGTGTTACAGGCTTTTTAATATGGATAGAGTACTAAAGAGAGGGAAGGAGTGGCTTTATATGTAAAATGTGTTACATCCTGTTGAAGTTGAGGATATCAAAGATAATAGCAAGGAGATTGAATCCATTTGGGTTTCTATTAGTGGATATAAAGTGAAAAGGCTTTTAGTGGGAATTTGTTATAGACCACCAGGTGATACTGATGATATTAGTGAGAAACTTTACAACAAGATTAAGATTTCAGTTGTTAATGAAGTCATAATTATGGGTGATTTTAATTTCAGGCATATAGATTGGGAAATGCTAAGAGTCAAACTGTGAGGGAGAAAGTTTTTTGGAAACTGTTCAAGATGACTTTCTTTACCAGTTAGTGAAGGAACCTACCAGAAACAATGCTATTTTAGATTTATTGTTAACTTCAAATGTAGAAATGATCAAGAGGGTGGAAATTAGGGAACATCTGGGTGAAAGTGATTATTGCTGTATTAGTTTTAATGTTTTGCTGCATGTGGAGATAAGGAATAATGATATTTCAGTTACAAATTTCAAAACAGCAAATTTTGAAGAGATGCAACAAGAATTATCTGTTGTGAGTTGGGCAACTGAGTTATTTGGAGACACTGAACAAATGTAGAAAATTTTTAAGGATAAATTTTTAAAAATTCAAGGTAAACATATACCTTATAGAAAGAAAAGAGTGGCTGCAATTAAAAAACCAGATATAAAGGGTGTAAGAGGTAAAATTAAAGAAAAGCATCATAAGTTTAAGAAATTTAAATTGACTGGTATGATGGAAGATTTAGAAAATTATAGAAGATCAAGATAGTTGATGAAACAGGAAATTAGGACATCAAAAGAATGTATGAGAAAAGATTGACTGAAAATGGAAAAATTAACAGTAAGGATTTCTTTAAATACATTAAGGGCAAGCAAAATGTTAGGATGGGGGTAGGACCCTTGAGGGAGGATAAAGGAGGGCTCATAATTGATGAATATGAGATAGCTGAGTTATTAAATTATGCTTTTTTTTTCAGTTTTTACCAATGAAGATTTAAGCAATATTCCACAACTTGAACACTCGATAGATAGAAACAAAATTGAACAAGATGCTTGCATTATTTCTGAGCTTGTAATGAAAAAATGGGGAAGTTTAAAGAATAATAAGGCTCCTGGGCCAGATAATATTTCCCCAAGGGTTTTGAAAGAGGTTAAGAATTGGATATGTTACTTGTTACTATTTTTTCTAAGTCCTTGAATTGTGGGCAAGTGCCAGAAGATTGGTAGTTGGCTAATGTTACTCATCTTTTGAAGGGAGGTGATAAAATTATCTCAGTAATTATAGACCTATTAGTCTTGCATCAGTTGTAGGAAATGTTTTGGAAATTCTGATAAAAGATGCTATGTAAAGTGATTTAACAGAGTTTAGAATTTTATTGGATAGTCAACTTGGTTTCACTGAAGAAAAATCTTGCCTTACAAATCTTATGACATTCTTCAAAAGGTTGCTGGTTATGTAGATGAGGGTAAGGGTGTAGATTTGATGTATCTGGATTTTCAGAAACATTTGAAAATGTGCCACACAAAATGATTGTAAAAATAATTATCACCATAGTTGTGGGAAATAATTAGCAAATTGAATAGAAGAATGGCTGGATGGAAGAAAGCAGAGGATTGTTACAAATGGAGTTTAGTCAAACTGGATTAATGTTAGAAGTGGGGTACCTCGGGGCTCAGTCTCAGGACCTTTGCTCTTTTGATTTACATCAATTACACAGATGAAGGAATGGTCAATAAATTAATTAAATTTGCAGATAATATTAAGGTCTTGGGCATTACTAGCTGTGAAGAGGATGCTGATGATTTATAAAAGGATTTAGATCATTTAGTGAGTTGGGCAAATAAATAGCAAATGGGTTTTAATTATAATAAATGCAAGATAATGCAAGTGAGTTATCATAATTTGAATTATAAGTATAATTTGGATGGGAATAACCTTAATAGTGTTATGAAGGAAAGGGATCTTGGTGTGATAGTTGATCACACTCTTAAGCCATCCAAGCAGTATGCTGTTGTTAGTGGTAGGGCAAATAGGATTTTAGGTTGTATCTACAGAAATATTGAATACAAGTCTAAAGAAGTTATAATTTCATTGTATAGGTCACTGGTTAGGCCATATTTGAAGTATTGTGTTCAGTCTTGGGCTTCTTACCTTTGGAAGGGCAATGAGTTGTCAGAAAGGGTTCAGAGGAGGGTTACTAGAATGGTTCATGGGGTGTAGGGGTTGCCATACAAGGAGAGGTTGAAATCTCTCAAATTGTTTTCTCTTGAAAAAAGAAGAGTTGAGGTGGGTGTGTGATTGTAAAGGGAATTGGTAGTGTTGATGCATCATCTTTTTTCATACTTAACAGTGAGGATAGTAAGACTAGGGGACAAAAATATCAGTTTTGACAGAGTAGAAGTCATCTTCAGGTAAGACAGTTTTATTTTTTTAACAAGGTGGTTGGCTTCTGGAAGGAGTTGCATTCAGATATTGTGGAGGCAATAAATTTAAGTGAGTTTAAGAGAAAGATTGGTAAATATATGAATGATGAGGGCTGGCTTTAAGAATTTTTTAAAATTTTATTTATAAATAGTTTTAGTTTAGAGGGTGGGACAGCCAAGAAGGACCAGTAGGTCTCATGTCGGCCCAAAACGTTGTGTTATACTACAACTTTTATGTTCTTTTAGTAGTATAATCATTAGTGAAGTGTTAATATTACTTTGATGAGCAGTTACTGTAATCTGGAATTAATCTGTATTGTCATCTTGAGGAGGTAGTTGTCTTCTGTGTATACAAAAAACTAATCAAATTTGAAAAACATAAACCATTAGAAATAATTTTTTTTGTGGATCATTTATCCACCTATATTTTCTTAAATTATTGTCAGTTATATAAAACTGAAGAGAAGTTAAAAACGTTCTTTAGTCTCTTTTTACGGAGATTAATCAAATGGTAGAATTCCAATCAGATTTTTCTCATTATTATCTGTCAGCTTAAAAGCGAAGGTGATTATAAAGAAAAATCCCATACTTGATTTTAAAAAACTATGTCTTAGTAGAACAGACTTACCAAAGATGCATTGAAAACTACAAGTTGTTTGGGAAAAGTTTGAATGTAGTACAGAATAACTCAAAATTACATTACACTGCATATATCTAGGTTGCTTTTCTTGCAAACTAATGTTGCTTTTATTTCTCATTTTTATTTGTCTTTCATAAGTTATTAGTGTTTAAGGTAATGCATTTTTTTACTCATAATTTTAAATTATTACATCAGGGATGAAGAAAATTTCCTTACAATGAATCCCACAGATGCATACAAAAATTATCCTGATCCTCATGGTATTATAATCATATTCATCAGCATATACTTTTCAACAAAATGAGAGCTTTTGTCTGAATTTTGCTTTAAATCAATGCTACAAAATCTTTACTGTATCGTGTGGTGGTGTGAGCGAAAAAGGATCTGGAATTCATTCACGACAATTGAACATGGATATGGCATTATCTTTCTTCAAAGTTTTGTACTGATGATGAGGGCCTTGCAGAATGAAACCAATGTGATGTAAAAACAGTCAAATATTATTACATTTAGTAAGTGATAAATGAAAAAATTTTAAAATCTGTTGTTTTTAAAGGGACCCCATTTTCTTAAATGGTTGGGTGTGTGGAACTCAAACAATTCAAATGCTAGCATGAACACTGATTACTGATTTCAATAAACTACGTTAGTGTTCATGTTGCTCTAAGGATTAATTAATAGTATCTAGAACAGATGATGTTTGCAGTAATTTTATTAAGGGGTAGGCTTTTTGGGAATAATGAACATATTGAATAATAAGCATATTGAACATTTTCTGTGACCGTTTTTTTAGGACTTTCTGTACCATTTCCAAATTTTCCGAAGTAAAATTTATGATTTTAGAGGCTATTAATGTGCATTTTTTGTAACTTTATTTCCCCTAGGACAAGTAGATTTTAAGATATAATCATTTAAAATAATCACCCTATTTTTACACATTTTCCTGCTGTGAAGTATTTTAACACCTCCTTGTGTTTCGGCTGATTTCAAGAAAGGATAACATATGCATGAGCTAACTGGCATCACTTGTTGCCAACAATATTGATAATAAATAGTGTTTCTGACTTAGATAATGTAAACCGAAGAATGTAATTTTATTTTTCAACAAATTAGTTACTAGAAATATTTGCTAGGTATTTTCCAGCAGAATGATTGTTTTTTCATGAAATAAACATCTTTTGTGATTATTTAGTGATGTTTGTACATTTAGCTGATGGATAGCCAAATAATAATATAATAACTGTTATCTTGGCTTCAAAGAAGAAAAAGTTATGCTTACAAAATATAAAGTTTCAGTGTGTACTTATAAAAAATATCTTTCATACACTTAGGTAAGCACATAATGAATGACAGTAAAATAACAATAGTTTTGGATTAATAATGAAAACTATAGCTGTTCTTGAACATTTGCTTTTTATTCAGGACATTTTATTTTTTTTATGTACTTTCTGTTGTTAGTAGTACAATTAGCTTTACTAAATAATTTGGTATTTCTTTAGGGAGGAGGATGTTGCTAAAGAGATTGAATCCATGACACTAGAAGAAAAAGAAGTGAATGGAGCTGGAAAAAATTTAAAGATAAAAGTAACTTGTTATTAATACCTTTTCTACTTTTGGTTATAATATCTTCCCATAATTAGGTGGTAGAATTTACTGATTAGCTAGGTTAATTGCAATAAAGTGTTGCAGAAAACATTTAGTTTTTAGCAATTAATAATCTTGTGTAGCATGCATTTTGTTTGCCATTTATAGTAGCTTGAAAATATGCTTAGAATTGTTAATGTGGATTTTCATTCTGTCGGTCTAGTTTAGGTTGTAGCTTAATAGAAAACTGAGATGTATGGCATAACTATAAAGTATAATATTGATTTGATACAACTTTAACTGAAACTATGTTGGCTGCAGCTTATAAAAATAACCAAGAACTTCATGTGATTATTGGTGTTTTTTGTGAAGCTCTATTTTCACAGTTTACTGATTTTGTTCTATTAGCAAGTTCTTTCGACAGTAGTATCAAAATTTATGTTCATATGATGGCTAGCCATTGATGGTACAGTGCACCAACTAGACCATTTTAGAAGGATGTCTCACCCTGTCACAATTTCTGAGTGTCTGTTCCATTCTAGATGTGAAATTGTGTCCCTCTGATTTTTTTAAGCTGTCACTATGGTACTTTTCTCTTTGTGCCAGGAATCATTTTGTGTATACAAATACTGAATTCTGTGAAATGTGAAAAATTAAGTTTCACTCTGACACAGTTAACTTTGGTTGTTTTCATTTTCTGTCTTATAAGATTTGTATGTATTAACCCAAGCCACAAAGTTTCATATTGTGTCAAAATGTTGTAAGTAAAAAGAAGAAAAGGTATCTATGTAGAGCCAGGATGGCAAATAAAAGAAAATTTGCTGAAATGTAGTGAGTTATGATTTTATCCAGTTATGTATTGTGACACTTTGGCATTAAAGATGCTATATTGAAAATAAATTTTTTCTAAACTTGTACATTTTGTTATTTTGCACAATTTGTTTGAGATTTTACATTGACACATCAGTTTGAAACCTTGCATTCTAATTCTTTGAATTTGCACTCATAAGATATACCCCACTAGAGGTAGTTTCACTACTGGATGTGTGTCCTCATTTTAAGTGGGCACTTGCTCCTTTTCAGTCCTAGTTGGAGCATTACAGAGCATGACCAGAGTGTTACTTTTAGTTTAGTTTAAGATCTGTGCTTATTGATTCTAGGCTGTAGACAGTACCTGCTTTTGTGTATGTATGATTCTCTACTTTTACATGTGGTTTGTGAAGGTCTTAGGTTGGTGAATTTCATTTCATAAATGTATGACTTCTGACATGTAGTCTGAATTTGAAGTGTAAGTTAGTACACTTATAGAATACTGTTGTATGGAAAGTCTGACTTTTTTTTATATGATTATGATGTTCAGTAATTGCTGCTTTCCATAGCTTTATTTTTACATGGTTAAAGTAATCTTGAAATATTTTTTGATAGATTTGTTTTTAGTTTAGTACTTAATTAAGTAAAGTATTGGAAACCATAACTTGATGAAAACTTTTGTGATCAGAGTTGACAAGGAAATATTTCAAGAGTGTGGTAGTGTTTTTTAATCTTTTTTTTTGAGTTTGTAAAAATGGAAAGAACTAAAATCCAGCTAGTATGGCAAGATTTAAGTAATTAGATAAGTTTTTCAAGAAAAGGGCTAATTTACATTTTTTGAAATTAAACCATGCCAGATAATTTTCTAAAACTTTAGCAGAATTGTGTGCAACATTTTTGGTAGCATGAAGTATTATAACCATCATAAATGAACATGGTTTATTAGTAAGGACTAATCACATTGTATTAGTGTCATCTGTAAAAAATAAAATTAAAATTAGCTGACTTAACTGCTTTGTATTTGTTGCTTATTTGACTTAAGTCAGTAGATGCAAGTTAGACTTGATCATCTAGAAGGATCCGTAGTACATGTAGGTGGTCAAGTGACTAGAAATATAGTGCAAATTTTTTTATACAATGAAATATATAATTTAGATACTTTCTAATGGCTCTCTAAATCAATGTTTTCCCTGACCTGTCACCGGACTGATAACACTTTGACTTTTGTTCCTGTTGGTAGTTATGATCCGTAGAAGCCTTGTGACATTTACTACTATCAATTTGTTTGAATAGTTTATATTGTTCTTTTTCATTTTTGGCAATAATGAGTGGTAAAGCTGACTTCATTTCTCATAAATTGCTTTCTCTTTTGTTAACATTTAAGTTCCCAAATTTTGCAAAGAAACTAATAATAAAATACATCACTTTCAATAACCTAATTTTATTAATAAGTGCTTTAATTTAATTTTTAATTCATTAATACATTTTACTTATGCAATATGTACTATGTACCGGGAGCCAAACTAAAAATCAACCTGGCAATCAGTAAAGCTAATGGAATATATTTTTCTTACATTTCTACATATTAAGATTAGAATGCTTTGTTTTGTCAGGAGGGTACCGTCACTGTTAATGTTATTTTTGGCTGTAATCTCCATAATATTTCATGAGGTTTGGCCAGCTTAGGAAAATTAGATTAGTCCTAAATACATATTTTAAGCTAACAATGCAAAACAATCTTTATAATGAAAGTATAATAGTAAACAGTAAATAAAATAAAAAAAAAAGTAATGACATTCAGTAAACGAAATAGTGTAACCAGTAAGGGTGTCCCAAAATAAATCACACTTTTTTTCCCGAGAGTATAACAAAGTAAGATAAGATTTTAATTCAATCAAAAAAGTAATTCCAAATATCAATATCGCTTGATTGGGCCACCATTGTTCTCACGCACGAGTTTTAATCGATTTGCAAAAACTTTCAGCAATGCAACAAACATGTCTGTTTTTGTGGCTGTCTCTGTGAGCACATCAGTGAGAACACGAATCAAGGTTTCACATTTGTGTCTCTCACATTCAGTCAAAGTTTCCAACATTTCTTCTGTGCATTTTTGAATGAAAGATCTGACATTTTAGGTGGGATTTAAATCTGGAGAGTTTCCAATCCACATTCCACCACTTTTTCATGGATCACTCTTTCAAATTCAACAATTTGAAACATTTGTGTCTCTCACATTCAGTCAAAGTTTCCAACATTTCTTCTGTGCATTTTTGAATGAAAGATCTGACATTTTAGGTGGGATTTAAATCTGGAGAGTTTCCAATCCACATTCACCACTTTTTCATGGACCACTCTTTCAAATTCAACAATTTGAAACTTTTGAGGCATCAATCAAATCTGATGTGTTGATTGGAAGACTTGAATTCTCGGAGCATATCTGTGACTAGTTTCAGAGCCATCCCAAAGGTAGCAAATGCGACACGGACCTAAGTTCTAGTGAGCACCATGATTCAAAAGTTTTCGCAAAAAATGAAATTCAAAGAGTCAAACACCCAAGAGTATGTTGAAATGACATTTTCTCATGAGTGTGATATTTGTGGTCCTACCAAGTTCGTCATTACCTCGGGGAAAATAGTGTGATTTATTTTGCAACACCCCTTACTATTAATGAAAGTAACAATAAATAATATAGTATACCTTAGGGAAGACAAACACTAGCTGTTGGCTTGAACTACTGTAATATGAACCACTACTACATATTTTTTGCCATACAATGTCTATTTAAACATATGAAAATTGAAAATTATTTTAGTATAATATGTTATTCCAAATTTTAGGAATATTTTATATATATGGGAATAAAAATTACATCATAAATATATCTTTTTGAAGTGAAAAGAACAATTATCTGAGTTTAGTTAAAATTTATTTCATCAGCAATGTTTTTGTACTGTTTTTCTTTTTCAAAATAGTGTTAGGGGCCATGTTTCCAAAGAATGGAACTTCTTTCAGTGGTTGTGGTAGATGTAATTTCACTTCTGCTGTGACGTGCATAGGGTTTGTCTGGGTGGGCTCAAGCTCTTACCTTTATGCACCGAAAGTGCTCTTTTTCTCAGTCATAAAAATTGTTAACTGCCAAAAGACATGCCTAATTTCACACTTTCCTTGCTGCAAGTTATTAGGTAGAAAAAGATTTTAGCTTTAAACTTAATAGAACACAGGGAATTGTCGGTCTTTACAATGAAAAACAAACCAACTATGATATGCTATTAAGTGTTAATACACAGTAATTCACTGTTTAGTTTTAGATTGTAAACATATTTATAAAACAAATTGAATAAGAATAAATGAGGGTCTGTTTGCTTATTATAGTTTTTTTAACCCTATGTGTACCAGAAGCAACCCATAGTCTCCTTTAGCATGTTTATGATGCTTTGAAAAGTGCTCTTTTTTGTCAGTGTGCCCCAGCCCTTTTTAATATGTATTATTACTTGGTGAAAACATTTTTTATTGTACTTAATTTTAAGCAATTTAGCTTATTGTGTTAATGACTGATATAATATTCTATGATTTTACATACTAAAAAAAGGTTATGTATCAGTATAACTATTCAGTGATAAGGGCATAATTGCCTATTGTATCTTAATTTTATAAACCCAATTTTTTATAAATTTTTTATTCAAGCTATATGATTAATATAATAATTAGTTATATATAATTGTTTCTGTATTATACTGTTAAAGCTATGAAGGAGCATGTTTCATTAATGTCAAGGCTACTTAGCAAGTTTTGTAAATTGTGTGAAGTATTAAGTTAAGTATAAACAGTCTAAAAATAATTGTTACATATATACGTCTGATAAACTGTTTTAGAAACAAACATCTTTTCACATGGTATAATTCTCATAAATTGTAGTTAGCTAATTTTATAATTAATTAGAGAAAAAGTTGCATTAGAATTTTTGATGAAGTACTTACTAACATAACTCACAATTTACAACAAAAGCTCATGCTTTCCATTACAGTGTAGTGGTGGTTAAGATAGTAATGTAATTTAACAGTGTAATAAAATAGTTGCATTAAGTAATGAGTAAAGAGGATCTTGTTTCTTCATATAAAAAAAAACGTTTGGTTGAGAAACATTAAAATTATTTTGCACAGTGACTAAAAATAAAGAACCAATCAGACTGTTTTTGGATTTATAAGCTTTGTTAAGATAAAAAAAAAGTATTTGAAACTTATGATGACAATAAGTTAGTGGGTGTTGACAGTGGTTTTGTATTTCTTTCACTTTGTGCACATACATTTCAAGGCTTAAAATTAGTGGTGGCTTGCTGACAAAAAAACCAGCAGGTTCTCAATGACCATCAGACCATCAAGGGACATTGGTATTTTTTATTTGTTTACTATTTGGTAAGTTGCAAGCATAACATTTATAGGAAAAACCAAACTATAGTAATTAATCAACAAGCCTTTTTCAGTATTTTTTTACACATTGTTCTTGCACATCTTTCAGTGGGATTTTCCCCTAATTTAAAATAGCAAGTAAAAACAGTGTTCAACTTTTCCAGTCACTCACAAAAATTTTCCAGTGGCCAAAACAGATAATTTCAAGCCTTGTATTGCTTTGTAAACTTTCAACACTTCATTGTTTATCTCTACATTAATTTATTATCTTTTTTTTTCTTTTTACATTCAAACTGATTTCATAATTGTTCCATCACCTTTTTGCCATTTAAAAACTTTTTTATATTTGAAGTTGGTGCTGCAGGGGCATTGCATGTGTCTTGATGTGTGTTTTTTTTAGGTTACTGGCCACATTGGATTAGTAGAGGAATATTTTGTACATACTTAGTAAATTAGTATAAATAAAAATCTTTTGCAAAAACATTAAATTACAATGTTATTGATTTCAATTCACATTATAATTGTTTGGTCACTAAGCCCCAGAATAGTTCCATTTTTCATCAGGTTTACATGGTGAAACTATGTTTTTGTGAATGTACTGGATTGTTTTACCTGCACAATGATACTTTTTTTTAATCATCACATAGCTAGATTTTTGTGGTCTATTTGCAAATTCTTGAATATTGGAGATTGATTGGCATCAAGGAACGATTGATGTTGTTTGCAGTGTAGTTGGTAGAACAGATGAAGTTTTAAAGATTATATTTTGGTCTTTGGTAAGCTTTATTATAATTTTTTTGTTATTATATTACTTTGTTATGTAATTTATTTATGATTATTTTTTAGGAAGATGAAAATCAACAAGGACGGGATCTCAAAGACAAACAAAAGAAAAAGCAGAAAGAGAAGAAGGGAAAGAGTGATATTGGTGAAGCTGAAAATAGTGATAGAAGTAATGTGGCTGTTAAAGATGATAAAACAGGGAAAAAAGGGAGAGATGATGAGGACAAACCAAAATCAAAATCTGGTAGACTCAGAGGAAACAAAATACCAGATAGTGATGAAGATGATGAAGATGAGCAAATATTTGATCAGTCTAAAGGACTAAAACTGCAATCTGTTTACCAACTACTAGAGGAAGAGACAATGGACTTAGATGTCAGTCTAGATAGTGAGGAAGAACAGAAAATGTCACATGAATTTGTAGAAAATAAAGAAGACTTAGAAGAAGATAAAACAAAGAAAGAAGATAAAGGTGGAAAAAAGTCAAAGAAAAAAGAAAGAAAGAAAAAACAGGATGATGAGGAAGTAGATAAAATGCTTGAGGAACTTGCACTTGAAATAGAAGGTAAAGTGCCTTCACAAAAGGAAATGGTACATCAAGATGACCAGCTAGAGGCAGAAAGACAAGTAAAAGTGGAGAGTGGAGCAGAAAAGTCAAGTAAAAAAAAGAAGAAAAAAGCTGCTGCAGAAACAGAAGATACAGAAAAAGAAGATAAATTAGATCAGTCGGAAATGCAAGGAGAAGAACATACAGTTAAGTCTGCTGCTCAAAAGAAAAAAGAAAAGAAAGAAAGAGAGAAACAAAAGAAGCAGTCTCAAAAGATTCAAGTGAGTGTATTTTTCTGTGTAATTTCTACTTTCAATTTGAAAGGTATGTTCGAATACAAAATATATTACTTTGTTTGAAAAAGTTGTATCACATTAAGGGTAAGAAAAATGTTAGGATGAGAATGTAGAGTCTTTGAGGGATGATCCAGGAAGAATAATATCGGATGATTATGGGATGGCTGGGTTGTTAAATTCTACTTTTTCTTCAGTTTTTACTAATGAAGATTTTGCAATATTCCTCTCCTTGAACAGTAATTAGATGGAAACAAGATTGAACAAGATGATTGCATTAATTTTGAGTTTTTTAAGAAATACATTTGGAAGTTTATAGAATGGTCAGGCTTCTGGGCCAGACAACGTTTACCCAAGGCTTTTGAATGAGGTTAAGGATTGGATATGTGAGCCACATGCTACTATTTTTTGAATAGTGGCAGGTGGCAGAAGATTGGTAGTTGGCTAATGTTACTCCTCTTTTGAAGGGAGGTGATAAAAATTATCTCGGTAATTATAGACCTATTAGTCTTGCATCAGGTGTAGGAAACGTTTTGGAAATTCTGATAAAAGATGCTTTGTAAAGCGATTTAAAAGAGCTTAGAATTTTATTAAATAGTCCACTTGGTTTCACTAAGGAAAAATCTTGCCTTACAAATCTTATGACATTCTTTGAAAAGGTTGCTGGTTATGTAGATGAGGGTAAGGGTGTAGATTTTGTGTATCCAGATTTTCAGAAAACATTTGATAAGGTACTACACGAAAGGCTTGTAAAAATGTTATCTCTGTAAGTGTGAGGGATAAGTTGACTTAATGGATAGAAACTGGCTAGATGGAAGAAAGCAGAGGATTGTTACAAATGGAGTTCAGTCAAGCTGGATTAATGCCATAAGTGGGGTACCACAGGGCTCAGTGTTAGGACCTTTGTTCATTTTCATTTACACCAATGACATGGGTGAAAGAATGGTCAATGGGTTATTTAAGTTTGCTGATGACATTAAAGTTTTGGGCATTGCTGGCTGTGAGGAGGATGCTACTGCCTACAAAAGGATTTGGATTATTTAGTGAGTTGGTTGAATAAGTGGCAGATGGCTTTTAAGTATAATAAATGCAAGGTAATGCATGTGGGATATCACAATTTGAATTATGAATATAATTTTTATGGAAATAACCTTAACAGTGTTATGGAATAAAAAGGTCTTGTTGTTCTGGTTAATCAGTCTCTTAAGCCATCCAAGTAATGTGCTCTTGCTAGTGGCAGAGCAAATAGAATTTTAGGTTGTATCCACAGAAGTATTGAATACAAGTCTAGAAAAGTTGTAATGTCATTGTATAGGACATTGGTTAGTCTACATTTTTGGAGTACTGTGTTTAGTCCTGAGCTTCTTACCTTAGAAATAACGTTGAATTGTTGGAATAGTTCAGAGCAGGGATACCAGGAAGATGCCTGGGATAGAAGGGTTTTCATATGAGGATAGGTTGAGATCTCTGAACTTTTCTTTTGAAAAAAAAAAGAGGTGTTTAAGATTATTAAGGGAATTGATAAATTTGATGCATTATTATTTTTTATATTTAATGGTAAGAATGGCAAGACTAGGGGACACATATATAAATTTTGGCAGGGTAGGAGTCATCTTTATGTAACACAGCTTTATTTTTCTTAACTGGCTGGCTATTGGAACAGGTTGCCTTTGGAAGTGGTGGGTACAGTTAATTTAATGAACTTTAAGGAAAGCTTGATAGATATTTGAATGATAAGGGCTGGCTTTGATTTTTTTAGTGTTCAGTTTAATTTAGTGGATTGGATGGCCTAGATGGACCAAAAGTTCCTTTGTTATCCTTTAATGCAATGTTAAGTAAATGCTCCTTTTTAAAAGTTTGTCTTTAAACCGAAAGGCATGTTTCCAGCGTGAAAAAGAGCAACTGATTGATCAGGTGGAAAAAAGTTTTATAATATATATATTAAAAACATGGTAATACCAAAAAACATCTTAAATTCCACCTTCAGTGTTAAAATCTCAGAAAATGTTAGTTCATAATAGTTGAACTACAAAAATCAACATTAACTATTGAGTGAGTTTCCATATTCAATTTAGAAAGAACAGATTTAATAAATATCAACTGAATAAAAACACTGAGAATCTGGAATTGATTACATTAATGACAACAAGGAAGAGTTGATGTTATTATTTAGTGTTGAGTAATCATTGAAAATGGAGAGGCTTTCTTTAATAAAAGAGTTCTGGAGTTGAGAATTTTAAAGTTTTCTAATTTGCAATCTTATGATTGTGGGTTTGAATTCCTTTCATAAAATATGTTTGCTCTTTCAGCTGTGGGGGCATTATAATATAACAGTCAATCCCACTATTTGTTGGTAAAAGAATAGCCCAAGAGTTGGCGGTGTGTGATGTTGACTAGCTGCCTGTAGCCTATTACTGCTAAATTAGGGACAGCTAGTACAGACAGCCTTTATGTAGCTTTGTGAAAAATTTAAAACATACCAAACTTTTATATATATAGTCTCATCATCACATTTATAATGAGAATGTTAAACACACTATGATAGATGACTGTTTCACAATTACCAAGTGTGTGATCACATTTACTCAATTGATGAATTTGTTGTTTTGCCTCCTTATTGGTGAAGGGGTATGGTCTGAGGCTACTTAGCAACATAGACTAGTGCAGTATACTTTATTACATATAGGGTTAGAACTTTTTCAACAGCTTAGTGCATGCACAGCAGAAACTTTTTACCAATGAGGTGCTAGCTAATTGTTTTATGTAGAGATGAGGATCTATTCAAAATACAAGTAAGGAAAATATTAATTTGAATTTTATGTTGTTTTTAACATTTCTTAAATGTCTTTCAGTTCATTTTTCTAGGTGATTGTACTTTGTACATTGAATGTCGGACACACAGTGTCTCTATGGTGACCACTTATTAGGAAATTATTTGGGATTAATGACTCTTCCCATGAGTAGATGATAAAATTAAATATTTATCAATTAAGAGATATTAAGTCACATTAGAAAGTTAATGTGTATTTCTGTCTCTGTAAACCTAAGGCTAGTATTTAAACCACCTTAGTACCTTAGTATTATTTTATTTTTTTATTTTCTATTCCATTTTATTTCCTTCCAAAACATACATACCTCCACTGACACTAATAGCTATTTCTCAATCTTCATCTTTGCCATCTGATGTTGTGTTTGCTTGCTCCAGTCTTTATATACCCCACTCGACTGCCCTCGGCAATATCTAATTTGCAAAACTTTATGTTGGCCCTCACACGCTCTCTATGTAGGTATTGTATATAAGCACTGTATGCAGACAATAAATCACTTTTTCTCAACAAAGCATGAGCATTCAGACTAACATTTTGTGATTTACATTTTCGTAGTTTTCGCTTTCTAATAATTGGGAACTTTGTTTTGTTATCTAGATATATTTCGTTGAAATTGTTTTTTCATATTAAAGAAAAAAGAAATTAATTCCCGTGTAACAGTTTCAAGCACAGAGGCTACTCAGCCTTTGCCTATTCCTCCTTTGTTATCTAGTGATGGTCAACAGTTGTGGGGGGGGGGGGGAGGCCACTCTCCCCAGAAACTGTCTGTGACCTGATTTGGGGCAAAATGGAGTCCTTCATGCAGCTCGGGAGGTGCTGGCTTGAATTTTCATTATGAAACGGGAAGAATTTAGACTCCCTGTTTTCTGCTCCTTCTTTCACTGATCAGCCACCTTCTGCCCCTTTTATGCAGTTAGTTACATGTGTTTGTGAAGTTTTGGAGATGCAACTTTTGAATCTACCTCTGCGTTGTTGTCCGATTGTTCTCACGGGGATTACTTAGTTTTTCCTCCTCCTGAAATCGCTGTGCATGCAGGGAGGTTTGCAATACTATTACATGAGGGTGTTGCTATGCCTCCCCCCTCGTTTATCTGAACAACATGCCCTGGCGTATCATCGTCAAGATGATATATATTTGGACACTCAAAGGTTGGATCTATGGGGTGCCAGCTACGAACCTGTTATATCTCTTAACAGGTTGCAATTTTTGCGAATTTGTCTGACTCTTTCTACTGTTTTAAGATACTTCTCTTCCCTTCAACTTTTGTCTGAAGCATAACACTGATTGCCTCAACAATTTGATGAAGAACTGGCCCCTTTACTGGTGACTATTATGACACGTTTGTCCTCTTTGGGACTTGCCTTGGTGTTGTGGTTGGTCTTTTGCTGGGACTTGTTGATCGTGATGCTTTTTTGGAGTGTATTCACTTACCTTCTTCTGCTCTTTGAGATTTACGAGAAGCACCTTTGGCCTTATTTATTTGCTGGAATTTCAGAATCTTTAGAACCCAGAGTTGATACAGCACATTTGCAGTCTTTTTTTATCATCTTTTGCTGCTCGACTCTATTCTACTTCAACTGGTACTTATGCAGGTTCATCCCTTTGTGTCTCAAGGCCACCTCCTTCCACTCCTCATTCCATTGGTTCTCTTAATCATTTCCGTCCTTATTCTCGGGTAGTTTTTGACAGAGCGCGTCGAGTCCAGCGACGTCGGTGACTACCTATTTTTACCAAATCCTGTGGGAGGAAGGTTACATCTCTTTCACCATTGATCATTGGGTTCTCAGAGTACTGGAGTTGGGATGAGATTCAGTTTACTTTTTCCCCTGCTCTGTCCTCCCTTTCAGTCATTTTTCCTCCGCCTTCAGACCCCAGATGTACAGATCTTTGAGCCTGAGCCATTTAGGAGTTGTTTCTATAACGAGCCATCGAGAAGGTTGATCCCATTCATCAAGAATTCTATTTTTGTCTCTTTCTGGTGCCAAAGTAAACTGGAGATTGGCACCCTATCATTGATTTATCTCGACTAAATCTTTTTGTTCAGCCTCCTCTTTTCACCATGGAATCCTTTCTTCAACTTTGATGGTACTTCTCACCAGGTCTTTGGATGACCAAGGTCGATGTTGGAGATACCTATCTTCACATCCCCATAGCAGAAT